GAAGAACTTGTGTCGCTTAAGTTTCGTCGGAACGAAGTTACGGAAAGTTAATTAACAAACGGAGACGTAACAATATATATTATTCTTTATGAGTAAAATGTTAGTAATTATCAATATTTGTAATGTGTTTGATGTTGCCTAATACAAATCTGTCCGACATTTTACACAGATAACATCACTCTTAATTGTTTTTTCAGAAATGCTCCTCCATTTCATTATTGTGTGTTAGTGAACTTTGAAAACTTAGTGTTGATTAAATTACTGTACCATCCTTTAGAAGTAGGAAAATAATTTGTCTCATTACAAGATAAAATAAAAGTTATTGTGTTAGGTACTAAGATTAATACATTACTAACTATAATGACTAGACAAACACTACAAAATTAAGTTACAATAATATGGAACATTACTAGGTATAACTTGGAATTTCCATTTCACTGTGATTTCACCAAGGAATGAAAAACTAAAGATATTAGTTATTAAGGTAGATACATTACTCATCATAATGTCTGCAGAGAAACAAAAGGTGTTATGATATGAGTATAATACTAGATTTAATAAGGAAAGAAAGAGTGAATGTGTGCGTAATGGGACTGACGAAGAGACAAAAGATTAATAAAAGGTTTATTACTAACAATAACTTAGGGAAAACACTATAACATTTGTTTGTTGAGTTGTAATGCTAACAGTTATTCTTATCACAGAATATTTCAAATCAAGTTAAATTCTATGTAGACTGGATGCTCTTTTCAAGACCATATATTCTGTTTGAAAGTGAGAGATTTACTCATAAAACTCACTTTAAATACTTAATAAGTGAATTGAAATGTGACATAAAAACAGAACCATGTACTAGTTAAGGTAAATGTTAATACTCACAGAGCCACTTAAAACCAATATAATACATAATCTGATTTGATTATAATCAAACTATACTGTGTTTTCTCTAATAAACTTTAGATTAGTAAATTCATTTTTAGAAATATTATTTCCAGGTTTTGTTTCTTCTCTGAATTTATATGATTCTTTAAACATAGTATGATAACTAGTATTTTTTTTAATATCCAAATCTATCATAAGTATATTTTGCCTGCTTAGGGTGATAAAGCATTTGGGATGTCCACATGGTTGTGGTGAGGGTCATCGATCTCCTATTGCTGATGTACTGCGAACCCAGACCTTGAATATACTTACTCGTCTGGATCAAGCTGACCCATTGCAGTTTCGAAAGTTTCTAAGAAATATGATAAACCAACATGCCCTCACGGAAGTTTTAGATTTTTTTCATTCATTTGTAGGTTTTTGCTCTGAGCAAGGAACACTTCTTTCACCTTTAAGTGAGTACTGTTTGTAATTAAACTCTTAATTAATGTTTTAAATGATTTAATTAGACATAGTTAGATAACAATAACAAATGTATGTTTCATATACCATATATGCAACTTACTATTAAACAATATGCAATATAAATTGTTTAAATTAAACCCCTAAACCCAATTAAAATTATGTATTCCACAACTATATAAAAATATATTCAAATAATCAAACATCACTTATTTTATAAAAACATACTCAAGTTTATCAAACTCTTATCCCTATTAATAACCCTGTTTGAGCACATTGCATTAAAATCTATCTACAACCTTTAATATTTTATAGCTTGTTATTTTAGATACAGTAAAAATTGTTCATTTTATGTGAACAGAGTAGTACCGTAGTTTGCAAGTTTTGTGTACAAATGTGAATTGATATGATTCTTATTGTATTGCTACTAAATATTTTGTAAATTGACTTTTTTTCTGAAGGGGAAGTATTTTTGTACTTTTTTTTAGCATTTTTACTTATTAATTTTTAATCAACGGTGGATTTGTGTAGTTAATTATTTAAGGCCAGAATATTAATATGTAAATAGATGTTGGAATTAGAAGTTTCAACCTGAATGGTAGTAGTGATTTATGTGCATGTGGTCTAAATGGCCAGATCAGAGACCCCTGGGATTCAGGTAAAGTCATCCCTAATTTTTTGTTAGCCAGCCTACAGCACCTAACACCACAAGAGCCTTAACCATCCTTTGAACTGAATAATGGAATTTACTGCCAGAGTACTTTTAGTGGTCTTACATTTTTAACCCTAGATCCTTTGATATGCATTTCAACACACTAACCATTAGGCCATGCTCAGTCTATTAGTAGTCATCAAAAACTATTTTGATTTCATATTATACAAATAAAAACTTACATGTACAGTCATTAGTGAGGGGTCTTGTTAACAGCTGTATGTGTATATGTGTGTTTGTATGTGTATTTCACCTTAACTGTCTTTTTTTATTAGCTCATATTTTAATTGGCTTACTCGTATATCTTGTGGTATTTAATTAATAAAAGTAATATATTGTTTAAGCTTGATGATGATCTGAACAAAGGTAGCTGAAACACATAGAAAAATGTCTTTGTTTTTGCAATTTAAAATTTGAAATACATCTTGAATCTGTAGGCATGTATAGGTCACCTCAAATTTGTATTGTATCTTTCATTAGATCAGAAACGCTCGGGTACAGTCCCTGGTCAGGATAATGGCTATGCTAACAATTTTGGAGGAGGGCTTACATCTGTATATGGTAAAGGTCCAGCAGCAGCAGTTTTAGGTCATGTTTTTAAACCGTTAGTAACCAGACTGGTTCAAAACATGAAGGACTTGAAAAGCCAAGAAAACATGGTAAGTGAATAATGCTCTTGTATTTGTAGTCTGTTTTAGTCCTTTCTGTTTGTCTCAGAAAACTGTAAGAGTTTCAAAAGAATAAGTGACTGATATGCAATTTTTTCTAAAGATCATATTGTTTTAACCCTATCTGGACTGGTATACATACACCTTTCAGGTGTTTAGTGCACACCTCCACATCAAATTTTAAAATGTAAGTATATATATAATGTAAGTATATAAGTCTTATTTAAACAATATTTAACCAAATAAAATATTTTAGAATTAATATTTTGTAATTTTATAACATTTATTCTGATACTGTTCATTACCTCTGCTCACATAAATAGCTATTCTCGTTCATTGCTGCCTTCTATATGCAAAAAATGTTTTTTGCATGCCACAAGCCTTAAGCTCCCATGTGTCTTATAATTGATGACTCAAAAGCATCATCATGCGACAACCCTCCACCAATAAGAGTGCAAGACACTCTCCTGATGCAAGTGACTCCCTCTATTCAATTCTATCGAACTGTCACTTTTCGTTTGGCAGTACTTGTGTCAAGAGGTGTGTTTTTTGTGCTCTTCGAATTTTATTCAATTTCGCGATTTTTTTAGCAGTGTTTTCTTCCGAAGTGGATTTGTTAAAAATTTTCTCTTACAGTTCACTTTTCAGATAAATTATTCTCCCAGTTTTCAATACTGTTTTACATTCACAACTTGTGTTTGATTTTCAATTAACACAATGAATTCCGAAGTTCATGTTACCACCCCGGATGTCATGTCTTCTACTAACACAATCACACAAGCTACAGGTGGCAGTGACTTGGATTTGGATTTATCGGCTATCATTCTCTGTGAGAGCATCGATATATGAGTCAACCTGCTTCACCTGATCTTGCTCCCATTCCTCCTGGACCTGCCGAACCTGTTCAGGAGGAGGATTTTGACAACCTTTTTCCACCACCTGATTTTGCCGTGTCTACATATGCCCCTAGTATTTAGTTTCCCCCTTCCCTGGATATTATGGCTCATGCTTCGGATCATTTTCCCTTTGCCTTCTATCAGGCCAGTTACCTGTTTCTCGACTCTCAACAGTTAGAATCGATTTTGGCTGTTTGGGGGTTGACCCTGATTGGTCTGTTCATTTATCCCATGCCCAAATTTCATACCTTCATCTTATTCTATCTACTCCTTTTCGAGGTGATCCACAGAGATTCTGTTTTTTTTTTTTTTAGGGATTGCCTCTCCCTAATTACTTCTACATTGGCACGTTTGTCTTCTTTGGCTCTGGCCTTACACACGTGGTTTCTCTGTTGTTGGGATCTCCTGGGGAGAGATGTTACCTGTCCCAGGTTTTTTTTACCACCACCTTATCTCCAGGACTTACGTTTGGCCCCTTTTCTTCAGAGATATGTTTTTAGTAATATTCCTGACATTTTGGAATCCTTGAAGTCAATGCGACAGTGCACTATCCTTTTATCTTTGGTGGATTGTTTGTTGCATTCTGAGCCTAGACGTGCCTTTATTACCATTTCCCATTCAGTTCCTTCTCAGCCTTTACCTGTTACTCCCTCCATGGGTTCCTCAGCTTGTCATTTAATTCAGAGCAGATGGACATGTTGCCAACGGTACAGGTGACTACCCGGTGGGTTCCAGTCCAGTGTGGGCTCACTGGTTCAATTTTGTTCACCATTGGCAACTTTTTGCCACAGATTTGTGAGTTTTTGGGTTTTATCATTCAATTTTTTCCCCTCCTCTGTTATCTCCAAGTCCCATTTCCTTTCCTTTGCCCCGGAATCCTACCAAAAGTCAGTGTCTGTTTGAGGCAGTACAAAATCTAGCTGTTTGTAGTTCCCAAGAAAACCAGAGACTGGTGGCCTGTGTTCTATTTGTCCCACCTCAATCCATTTTTGATTTTACCCAGATTTACCATGGAATCTTTTCTCACCCTCAGGTGGGCTTTTTCTCTGGATTTATGGATGACCAAGGTAGATGCTGCAAATGCTTACCTGCATATCTGGATATCTCTTCAGTCAAGATGCTATCTTCGTTTCGTTCATCACGGGGTAGTTTACTAATTTCGTGCCCTACCCTTTGGGCTTGCTTTAACCTCGTATGTCTTTTACATGCTCAAGTATATCACTTCCATCATTACATGGACAACTCACATCACACCCATCAGCTTTTCCTGGAGGCAGCTCAGGTGAGCTGGTTACTCAAATTGGAGAAGTCTTTCCTTATTCCAACCCAATATCCTGTTCATTTGGGTGTTTTTTCAACACTTATCTCAGTTGGGCCAAACCTTCTCCTCGTTTTATGGAGCTTTCAGTTCTCCACACCCTTACTGCTCCTTATTTTACAGCTCGCGAGATTTTATTGCTTTTGGGGATGTGGTCTTCCATGGAAAACTTATCCCCTTGGGTTGAGGTCATATGCAATCTCTTCAGTGGACTCTGCATGGCCAGTGGAATCTTGAACAGGATCCCATGGAGGCTCCTATTTCCCTTCCTCCTCCTTCCCTGATAAATGGTCTGTATTGGTGGTTGGGCAAGGCTCACATGTCGGCAGGTGTTCCACTTCCTCATCCACATCAGGATTTACATATCTTTACGGATGCATCCCTTCAGGGTTGATCAGCATGAAGCTTCAGGTTGGTGGTCACCAGCCAAAAAATCTTACCATATCAACATCCCGGACCTTCTAGCTGTACATCGTGTTTTGGATCATTTTCTTCATCTGGCCAGGAATCGTCTGGTCATGATAAATTTTGACAATTCTAAAGTGTTGGCTTATTTCAATCACCCAGGCAGTACCCACTCTCATTTCTTATGTGGATAAACCTTGGATCTTCTTTTTTGGGCCCACATGCTCGGTATTTGTATCATTGTGTGTCATGTTCCAGAGGCATTCAATCTTGTCTTAGATTGTCTTTCCTGTCCAGACCAAGTTTATCCAATAAAGTGGTCTTTCAATCCTCCTATTTTCTGGTGGCTATGACTTCAGTGGGGTGCTCCTCAACTTGATGCCTTTGCCACATTTCTCAATATCAAATTACTTTTGTTTTGGTCTCCAGCTCTTCATCCTCTTGCTCTTGTTGTTGATACTTTCAGTAAAGATTGGACAAAGAAATACTTGTATGTTTATCCTCTCATCCATCTTCTTCACAGTGTAATCTTAATCATCCATGTCACTCCGTGTCAAGTACTTCTTATTGCTTCTTACTGGCCGATGCAACTGTGGTTCCCAAGGCTGCTCCAGCTTCAATCTGCCCCTATGTTTCCTCTTCCTCTTACTTCATCCCTTCTACATCAACCTCGGGCACTGGTGTTTCATCCAGCCCTTCCTATTCTTCGTCTTCACGCCTGGTTTTTATCTGGTTCCTGCTGAGGAGATCTGGTTTGTCTCAAAGGGTAGCTTCTTTTTTGCATGTTCCATTCGCCCTTCCTCTAGGGATGTTTATCAGCATAAGTGGAATGTTTTCCACTAATGGTCTTTACATCAGGGGTTTGCACTTACTAGACCCACTCTTCCACTTATTACGGATTTCCTCACTTGGCTCTTTGATCATGGGTCTTTTGTATCTTTGATGACTGGTTATTGGGCTACTTTATCCCACACTTTCCATTTTTTCCATGTACCGTAAGGTTTTTACCTCTCCTACCCATTCCCTCTTGTGGCGTTCTTTCCGGATTAGTCATACACCTCAGCGTGCAGTCCTTATGGATTGGGTTGTGAATGTGGTTCTTCACTTCATTTGAACTGTTCTCCTCATGCTTGATTTTCCACTTATCCTTTAAGATTATTTCCTTCTCCTCTTAGCCTGTGGACGTTGTCATCAACGTTTTATGTCTTCTATACCATTCCACGTATCTTCTCCTTTATCTGGATCAATCTTTCCTCCACAAAACTTCAGTGGCTTGGGAGGATAATTCCTCCTCCTTACCAATTTCCCTTTCTTCCATTTCCCACCTTTATCCTCAGTCGGATCAGGGTAGGTTACTATGTCCTGTCTGTGCTCATCATTGTTATGTTGCCCACATGGCTTCTTTCCATGGTACCTGTATCCACATGTTCATTCCTTGGGAGACATCCTCTGTTCACGTTCTTTCTCCCTCCACCCTGACCAATTAGGTTTGACTTTTAATTTGATTGGCTTATTCTTCCTTATCATCTTTTTCCCGTAACTTGTTCCAGATGACTTCTCATCAGATTAGACACTTTACCTTTTTCCTGGAGTCACATCACCATACTCTTCAATTGGGTATGTGGACTACTATTCACATGTTCATATCTCACTTTTTGCATTAAGTCGCTGTTTCTTCATCATTAGGTTATCGTCTTCCACCTGTGGTCATTCTTCAGATTTTGTAACAACTGTGACTGGGTAACTTATCTTTTATATTTCTATCTCTTCTTTTTCAGGAGCTTTAACGTTTTTTTTTTACACTGTCCATATCCTGTTCTGTGGTGAGTGCCTGATCAGGTATACTTATAATAATAAAATCTGCACTGTAAGGTCAATGATGTCATGATAATTATAATTTTCATGGCCACTAAACACACTATTGAGATGGGGTGTCCACAAGATCATTGGTGGGGTTATGCTTGTACCAGATCGTACTCACCAATGGACTTCATGGGTAAAGCAGAAGAGAATAGCTGCCAATCCCTGCCATGCCTTGTATTGAATAAATCAGTATGGTTTGCTTTTAAAAAATAAGGTTTTCATGGTCACCCATTGCACTGTTTCAGATGTTGTCATTCCCCCTTTTCTCATACAGTGGAGTATGAAAGTCCTTACCACTTTCAAGTTCCAAGCTGCTGGGTTTGTAGACTTTGGAGACATCCTCCTGAATATGATAATAATAATACAATAAACATATACATTCCAAATAATTAAAATCATTCAGTTGAGAGAAGAGTGGTGGTGTTCTGCTGGTGTAGATGACATGATGTCCTCCACTATATCTAATTGGAGTGAGCCATCAAAACTGCAGTTCACCCCTACACTTGGGATCCCTCATCCCACCCACACATGGAATTCAGTTCCCAGTAGCTGGATTTAGAGCTGAACCAATCAACATAAGTCCTCACACACATATATTACAGATGTCTATACTTCCTTACTCAATTATACTCTTGTTCCTCCATCAGTGTTGTGGGTTACGATGGAGGTATTTGATTATTGATATAGATCTTCCTCTGACACTATCCCTCGATGATTTTATCATACCAAGGAGGTTCTTGCTCTAGCGGCATTTCCTTGTCTGTTGGTTTTACATTATCGAGACATCTTTACGATACCAGATGTCGGGTTCCCAAATCATCAGTCAATTTATCGTATTATTATCATGTGTCCCGTTCATAGATTGGGGGGTACGAGATTCCCTCTGGTCTGATGAACTTGAGGTGAAAATGGTATGATCCTCTTTCCTATCCCCACCAGGTGGCTGGGATTTTGATTGTAGTTGACTTACTAATGGTATGATCCTCATCATACCCTCTTGTGGATGTTGGTACCTGGTAGCCTGGGTTTTGGATGCAGTTGACTTGCTTTGTACAGTCCGTTGCACCCTAGCCACTCTACACCTGGAGGCACATCCTTTTACTTTAACCCACATTGATGGATGCTATGGGATTGAGATTTCAATATCGTGTCATTCGGATCCCAGTCCAATCATGGTTCTTTCCTTTTCGGATATGCTCCTCCCAATTTCTGCCCATGTCAGTGACACCTCTTTTCCATACTGGACAAAGAGTATACCTGGTACAGAAGTGGTGCAGTTTCCCATATATGAACCTCTTATGTGAGGATCTACTCTTTTAGGGTATCCTTTGGATGCTTTCGAAGGATGCATCTTTCTTTCCCTGGCACCAGTCCCTCCACCTCTTCAGTGTGGGATTCTAGCAATTTATGTGAGCGGAGGTGATGTACCATATTGGAAGTTATAACTTTTCTATACTGAAAATATATATCCAGTTGGTACTTACCTCCTCTCAAACTTCCCACCATTCCTCCCCACTCAAAACTGGTGCTTCAATTTTCCGTAAAAACTCGAAGCGATATTTTGGTAGAATCGAATAGAGGGAGTCATGTGTGTCAGGAGAGTGTGTTGCACTCTTATTGGTGGAGGGTTGTTGCATGATGATCTGCATTTGAGACACATTTGAATCAATAGACTGTAAGACAAGTGGGAGCTTAAGGCTTGTGGCATGTGGAGAAAATGCTGATGTCTGTACTGGGGTGGTGGACCAGGGAGGTATCCTTCTGAATGTGATAATAATAATACAATAAACATATACATTCAAAATATTTAAAACCATTCAGTTGTGAGTAGAGTGGTGGTGTTCTGCTGGTGTAGATGGTGCGATGTCCTCCACTATATCTAATTAGAGTGAGCCATCAAAATTGCAGTTCCCCCCCTCCAATTGGGATCCCTCATCCCACCCCCACTAGTAATAGCTATTTATGTGAGAAGAGGTAAATACGTATTGGAAATATATTTCTAGTATAGGAAATTTATAACTTTAGTGTACTTTGTAAAGAAAATTGAATAAAGTGTTCAAAGTTACATTTCTGCACAAATCTGAGGAGTCTTGCCTATAAACAATACACATTTTAATTTGTAGGATTTTTTTGCCCATCCAAAAGAATAAGTTTTTATATTTGCTATCACTCTATTGAGAATATAATTATTTGTATCTTGCTTATCATGTAATTTTCCTTCTCTTTCAATGGTTTTAGTACTACAACCTCTCAGCCACACGCTTTTATGATGGCACAGTATGTGTTCAAAACAACCACTGATGAAGCTCAACATTGTAAATAGCTACAAATTAGATACCATTGGAAAGAACAGATTAAAAAGTATTTAAGGCAGTATAAAGTAAACAAAGTGGTATAAGAAGTAGTTTATGGTGAGAAGAAGCATCAAAGTTGACATGTTAATTTTATTATCAATAGTTTATTCCACATTTTAACTGGTGGTACAAGTGTAATCAGTTAAGGTATTTTTATACCACCAAAAGCAAGTTCTAAGTAAAAGTACACTTTATATGTAAAATTTGGTCACAAAATGTAGTGCCTGGCAAACATGTGAGTGAGCGATTATAAATTCTCAGTCTATAAAGGAACTTAAATCCTGAAACGTTTATTTGTTGAAATAGAGGTTGGCGTGAAGTGTAAAGAGGGTGAACAAACAATCAACGAGCTCGTGCTTAGTATGTAATTAAGTATCATTTAGCTGGTAAGATTAAATGCTTTGTATGTGTTGAACACATAATCTGGCTAGTTGTTTATAAAATATTGTTATTTTGATGTAATTATATACAATGCAGTGCCAGAACATTTTGTATTTCTGTAGCCAGATATTCAGGCAGGTTCTGTATATATATACATACAAAAGGACCAGACAACTTTAAAAGTTTGTCTGTGCTACTGTGTATTGTTTAATTTACTTCTATAAAAGATATATGTATAATTAAGTGGAGAAGTAATGGAAATGAAATGTTATTTGGCATTATTTTCATTACTAATTAGTTTTTTTTATCAGGCTTTGTATTGTGATATTCGACAACTAATGACATACATTCGAGATAACCATGGAGGAGTTTTCCGAAGAGTTGCACTGAGTGGTTTGTTAGATAGTGCTGATAGACCACACAAAAAAGACCAGTCATCAACCCCATCCACAAGAATAGTGAGGTAGGAACTATTGTTTTCTGTAGCAGTAAATAAGCTAAGATACATAATTTATTTAAATTTTATTTAATGTGTAATTATCAAATATTTCTTGTATACCTCCTGTATTATTCATTCCACAATGAACATTTTCAAATTAAAACTTTTCTCTTAACCCCTTGACGTGGATTCCTGTACGTGGTGAG